TTAGAGCGGTAACTCAGTGTTGCTTTATGCACCGCCATCCTCGAATATTCACCCTGACTGCTTAAATTTACCAAGCCGAGAAATATATCCAAGACATTTCAAATATGTCGTTCGATTATCAAGTGTGAGTTGTCTTGTGCTTCCCACTCGATGATCAACGATTTTATCCATAATATTCTCAACATCATTTTGTAGAACACCCTCCCAATCGAGTTCAATCTCTTCTCCATCGAGGAGAAAACATTTCCAGTATTCACGACTATACTTCGAAATCCAAAGAGACAGCTGAAATTTCTGCAACACATAACGAGGAAAGAAAGCTTAGAAAATTTGACACTCACAGGACATATCAAATGCAAGAGAGACAGAGGGAGACAGCGAGTAACCTATTGAGCGAGCTTGTGTAAATGGATGATAAAGGAATCGGGGTGGGGGAGTAAACAGACAAGCATCGCCAGGAACTACCGAGGATAGGACACTGTGGAGAGGCATTGTCGCCCATATCTAGAGCGGAAGACGTGAAGTAGAAGAAGCTTGTCACTGTCGAATATTTCCAGTGAGGTGGGTTCGATTCTCACGCGTTGCTCTTGTTTTCGGGTCATGTGACAGAGGAAAGGACGCAAGGTCCTTACATCATTTACAAAGCCATTGTCATCTTAACACTTGAACTTCTCAGTAAAAATGAATGAAAATTAGCACTAATTGAACGACCAATAAAAGTACTCAATCCTAATTACAGGAAATAATTAGCTGAAGGCATTAATAATAATAATAATAATAATAATAATAATAATAGTGACAATAATGACTAATATGATATCCATAAAAATGGTGGGATCACACTCTCTAGGATATATATATATATATATATATATATATATATATATATATATATATATATATATATATATATATAAAAAAAAACAGACAACTTTAAGGTACCATTATAATAATTTATTTCACCAGAGCCCATTTAAAGGACGCCGGATCATCAGATAGCACTTCCAAAAATGAAATGAAACGAAAAATCATTTTTGGAAGTGCTATCTGATGATCCGGCGTCCTTTAAAAGGACTCTGGTGTAATAAATTATTATAATGGTACCTTAAAGCGGTCTGTTTTTCTTTTGAATATTAGCTCTGGATTTACATTGAGCTCTCAGGATTTCATCCTCCTTTGGATTACCCATACGGATTACCAAGTTCTTCAAAACTCATATATATATATATATATATATATATATATATATATATATATATATATATATATTCATATCATAGGCCTAAGAACCTAAAGGAGATTATAGGTAGTAACCACATTTCAGGGGACAAAGTAATCCATAATAAACCTAAAAATAATCAACAGGATTTTCCCAATCATGTAACAGCAAAAGGAGCTTATGCTGTAACCACATTAGACACACAAATTCATTCACTAGTTCAGTCCCTAAATCTACTTTCAAAATCTATCACGATTCTAACTGTAGAAGTCATAACATAATTTACCTCCTAGTATGCACACTCCCCATGAAAAATTATTACCTGTAAGACAACATTTTCGCCTAGAAAAACACGATTTTAAAACCCATGGTAAATTCACTATAATTGAGAAAATAGAAAAGTTCAGAGCAGATAGCATTAGAAAGATTTTAGAAGGACGTGAAAATAAGTGGATTCGGCGCCTAAAAACGCTCCACCCAGACGGGCTTAATCACAAATTTAACAAGATAGAATTAATATATGACCCCACAAATCATAACCTACTCACATTCGTCAACCAAACAAGACAGACCTACTTGCGGAGGAGGTATTGAGGCCTCCCACTTATACACTCATCCATCCTAATATACACACATACACACACACACATCATACTCACTCACTCCCTAAGAACCAAATAACACATGTACTTAACAGAGACACCTCCCCTTTCCAGGAACCAATAAAAAAGAATTCAGAGCATCATGAATCCATCCACCTCTTAACTTAAAAAAGAACTTAAAAGAGACTGTTTGACCAACAGAAATACTGACCAACATACATGTTAATAAAAAAAACGTTCATTTTCTCCATCAAGTCATTCCTTTCTGTGGTTCACTGCTACTAACAAGCAGAACATTTTTTATCTCCTGATGATCGCCATGTTGGTCGAAACTAGTCGAGGAATCTAACTGAAATAATAAAAACGAAAGAATATTAATATACAACACAGTGTGTTTTAATTTTTTAATATTTTTTATTGTTCGAAACACACAGACAGACAGACACACACACACACACACACACATATATACATATATATATATATATATATATATATAAAATTAATAAACAATAAGATCCAAAATGATCTCATATGAAGCAGATGAAGATATCGGTCGTTTCTCTTATAAACCCCGGTGTGGACTGAATTCATGTCTATACAGTGAATGGGGATGGGAAATAGAAATAGAAGTTAATATATATATATATATATATATATATATATAATTATTTTAAACTTATAACATAATTATGATATAACATCACTACAAAAATAGCCATTTTGTTTCAACACTTCGGGTTTCTTGTCAAGTGATGGTGTGATTTCTTATATAAAAAGTTTTTAAAGTGTTCCAAACCAGCCACTACCCACACTAGAGGAAATATTTTTAAGTAAGAGGCAATCAAGTTACAAGTATATGATAATTCAAATAACGCGACAATGGACCCTAGATACAATTTATTGGTGCTTTAAAATTTATATTAGATTATATAGGAAATCAAGACAACTACTTAATCTCGAAATTATTATGTAATTAAAAAAATAAAAGTTACGAATATTAAAATCGAAATATAACCATGCTTCAGGTTTAAAAACTTACAAAATTTTTCAAAGAAAAAAAACGGAGAAAATATGCCTAAATTTTTTACGTATAGTTCTTAATAATATGTTAAGTTTTCCGTCCGAAGCTTAGCGGAAGTAACTGGTGCAATATATGGCTAGAAAATTAGTTAAAATGGCAAGAGTTGTAATTAGAAATTTAACGGATGAGGGAGAAAAGTTTATTGGTGACAAGACAAAGAGACATCACATCATGATACACAAACACGTAAATACGATTGACTATATGAGCACACAAATATACGGACGACAAATAAACAGACTGCTCAAGATTCAATCGTCCAAATAATTACAAAGACAACGCAAACTACCCGTCAAAATTACACAAACACAGAAAATCAATATACACATATATAAACATACGCATACATACATATACATATATCACCAGTAATATAGCAGTATTTATTTAAATATTTGTGGCCAAATAACATCTTTAGATTTGCCTTTAATTGATTTTGTCTGTACAAGCCACGATGGCGAAATCCGTAAACATTCACAGTAATGAAAACTTGAGAAACCAAAATATCATGATTACGAATCTATCTATCTATCTATCTATCTATCTATCTATCTATCTATCTATTTATCTATGTTCATATCTATCTATTTATCTAAGTCTGTTCATATCTATCTATCTATCTATCTATCTATCTATCTATCTATCTATCTATCTATCTATCTATCTATCTATCTATCGTCTCTTCATATCAATTTCAGAATGTTCATATCTATCATTCTGTCTATGTCTGTTCATCTCACCGCATATATATATATATATATATATATATATATATATATATATATATATATATATATATATAGCTCATTCTATCTATCTATCTATCTATCTATATATATATATATATATATATATATATATATATATATATTTATCTATCTATCTATCTATCTATCTATCTATCTATCTATCTATCTATCTATATATATATATATATATATATATATATATATCTCCGTCTGTTCACATCTATCTATTTATCTAAGTCTGTTCATATCTATCTATCTATCTATCTATCTATATTATCTATCTATCTATCTATCTATCGTCTCTTCATATCAATTTCAGAATGTTCATATGTCATCTCACCGCATATATATATATATATATATATATATATATATATATATATATATATATATATATATATATCTATTCTATCTATCTATCTATGTATCTGACCGTCCGTTATTTTCTGCAAAATGATACACTATGTTCAGAGCTTTGGTTTTTCAACCCCCCCCCCCGCTCCGGGGTGAATGAAGAGAGATTTCTTCTACAAAATGTCGGAGAAATTGCCAGATCGAACTGTTAACATGTCACATTTAAAAGAAATCAGAAAAATAATTGATACACAAAAACAGACATCGAATGTTCTCTGATTCTGACCGAGACATCAATTCGTGTCCATGGGAAAAAAAAAAAAAAAAATCATCCGATGAGAAAATTGGGTGAAATCGAACTGATCGATATATGCCCAGTCAATCTTTACGACTGTCTACTGCTACTTTTAATCAGGCCCAAAAATGAAAGATAGACGAAAAAAAAAAAAAAAAAAAAAAAAAGAAAAAAGAAAAAAAAAAATGAATAGAAGACTGATAGAAAGAATTGGTAAAAACGGGAAGAAAACAAACGGAAGGAAATAAGAAATAAATGAAAAAAGTAAATGAATAAACGAAGGAAAGAAATCATTAAGAATGAAATAAAAGCCGGAAAATAGTTAATGAATGAAAGAAGGAATAAGTGAAAAAATAAATAATAAAAAAACTAAAGAAGAAGAAAAGGCAAGAATTAATGAAAGAATTAACGCAAGAATAAAATAATAATAAAATAAAAAAAAGTGAATAAAAGAATAATTTAATTAAAAAAAGAAAATTTATACGAAAGAATGAAATATTGAAAGAGAAAGACAAATAAATAAATTAAGAGTGAATGAAATAAATAAAATTGTTAGATTACTGAAAGACAGTTTTCGAAGAAAAATGAAAAAAGAAATGAAAATGAATGAATTAAAAATGATGACAGAGGGAAATTATTCTATCGAATGAATGAATGAAAGAAAGAAAGAATGAAAGGCAGAAAGAAATAAAAATTATTAAATAAAGAAAGATAAATAGAAATAAATAAAGAAAGAAATAAAGAAAAAAGATAGAAAGGAAGAAATAAAAATAAATAGAGAAAGAAAAAAGTAAGAAAGAAATGATGAAACAAAGATATAAAAGGAGAAAGAAAAAATAGAGAAAGATAAAAAGAAAAAAGAAATGAAGAACAAAGAATATAAAGAAAGAAAAAGAAAGAAATAAAGATGTAAATAAAGAGAAACAAATAATATATAAAAAAAAAATAACGAAAGAAAGCGTGAATTAAATAAAAAAAAAACCCAAAAAACCCCCCAAAAAGCCCCCCAAAAAACAAAAGTTTGATTAGTTTTAATTAAAGGAAGTAAAAATAATGAAAAATGCTTAAAAAAAAGATTAATAAAAATAAAATATTAAAAGAAAAAGTTAATTAACATGTGAAGCATTGGATGTTAGAGGCGAATATAATGGCATGGCGAAAGAGAGAGAGAGAGAGAGAGAGAGAGAGAGAGAGAGAGAGACGAAAGAAAACAGACGAACGAATAATTTCAAAAGAAGAAAAATGAAAAGAAACAAAATATAATAATCTTAAAGAAAAAGAAACGAAATAATAATAATAATAATAACAATAATAATAATAATAATAGTAATATTAACTGTTTCCCTACAAGGAAACATTTACAAATGATTTATCAATGACCGAGCAGCCAGTACTGTTTTCGGTTGAAAATTTATAAAATCTTTCTCTTAAATCAATTTTTTTTCTTTGTATAAACAGCTTTCTCAAATCCAGTAGCTCTTTCCAGTATTGATTGGAATTTCCTACTCAACCTTTTATTTGAAGTAGTGCGCAATGTCAACATCTTGATTATGTCATCATTTTCTCTACGAGTTGTCCATTTGCGCTACTGTTGGTAGTCCTCAAGTAATTTCTGTTATTTGGTACATTTCTTTGTGATTATGTAGCGCCAGTCTACAATGTTTAAAGAAAGATGATCTTCACCAACAACTTAAAAAAACTTGTAATGACAAAAGTACGCAGGTCTTGGTTTTAAGAGGTTTTATTCAACTGAGAATACAAGGTTCTCGTATAGTGTCCTGTTATAGTCCCAGTAAAGAGAAATAGTTCTCTCAAAGAGGAGTGTGAAAAAAAAAACCCAAGGGGAGACCACTCTTGATTAATCATAACACCGCTCAAAGTTTTTTTTTTCATAAGTGAAAACTCAAAAATACAAAGAAACGAAAATTTTAAGAATGAATGAATGAATGAAAAATAGTTAAAAGAAAGAAAGGTGTTAAAACGATATGTGCGTGTGTATAAGCGTAAAGGGTAGAAAAAAAATGGATGAATGAAACAAATAATAGAAAAAAGAAAGAAAGAAAAAGAAAAATACCAAACAAAAAGAATTGATAGGATAAAGGAAACATGTATATAAAAAAGAAATATAAAATAAAAACTGATAAAGAATGTATGAAAATTCAAGGAATGAATGATTAATGAAAGAAAATCCGAAAGAAAATGAAAAAAAAAGAAAACCCAATGTAAAATATGTGACGAATAAACGAACGGTAAACAAGTTTCGAAAAAGTTAAACCGAAAGAAAAAAAAAAAAAAAACGGAAATGAATGAATGGCGAAGTAGAACTTAATTAGAGGAAGTAAAAAAAAGTAAAAAAAATAGAAGCCAGAGAAGGAAAAAGAAAGAGAGAAAAATACAAAGAGAGAGAGAGAGAGAGAGAGAGAGAGAGAGAGAGAACGAGAGAGAGAAAGAGAGGAGAGAGAGAACGAGAGAGAGAAAGAGAGAGAGGGGAATAAATAAATAAACAAAAGAAAAGTAGAAAGAAAAAACCGGATATCTGTAACGAAGTAAGTTTTTCTACGACTTCCGGCCATGATTTACTTTGGCGAACACAAAACACTAATAGTAACTTTGTAGAGACGGAAAGAAAATCAGAGGAAATCACTGGGGAAATTTCAGCTAATCAAACTGCGGCTAAGAGAATGCAGTCGGCTTCGTAGCTTAAAGAGTCGTTCCGTTTCTCAAGATGTTGCGAGGAAAGTAAGCCGGATGAAGAATGGCTTTCGTGAACCAGAAAAGTTTTATTTGGAAAAGAAAATACAGAAAAAGTTAAAGAAAATAGATTTAGAGAGGAAGCCGAAGAGGGGAGTTATTCGTGTCTTCGAGAGAAGAAAAGAAGAAAAAATACTTTGATAAAGTTAACTTAGTCGATTAACATCGAGAGTGTAAAAATAAATTCAATAGTTGTAAGTAATTGCAACATACACATAATTCCTAAGAAGGCTTCTGCTCAGACAGATAGATAGATAGATAGATATATAAATAGATAGATAGAGAGATAGATAGACTGAAAAAATGGATAAAGAAAAAAGAAAGAAACGTAAGCGGAAAAAGACAGAAAGGAATAAAAAAATGAAAAGAAGTAAGAAGGAAAAATCAAACATAGATAGATAAATAGATATAATGTAAAAAATGGATAAAGGAAAAAGAAAGAAACGTAAGCGGAAAAAGACAGAAATGAAGGAAAGAAGGAAGAAGAGCAATCAGGAAAAAAATAGATAGATAGATAGATAGATAGATAGATATATAGATGAATTGAAAAAATGGATAACGTAAAAGGAAAGAAACGTAAGCGGAAAAGACAAGAGAAGGAAAAAGAGAAAGAAGGAAAAAGAGAAAGAAGGAAAAATCAGACATAGATAGATAGATAGATAGATAGATAGATAGATAGAACTGAAAAAGAGAAAATAGACATGTCAGAAATTAAAAAAAACGAAGGTAAACAAATCAAAAGAAAGAAAGAAAGAAAGAAAATGGGTAAGTGCAAAAAGATATGTAGGTAGGGCAAATGGAAGGAAGTGAAGAAAGAAGATAAGAAAAAGCAGAAATATCTAATCAGGTAAATATATATATATATATATATATATATATATATATATATATATATGAGAGAGAGAGAGAGAGAGAGAGAGAGAGAGAGAGAGAGAGAATTAGTACTAGTAAAAACGTTTGTCACTCAGCTGATTGATATTACCTTCAGCATCCCGACTCCAGAGTTTCATGGACGGACCCAACGGTAATCACTCAATCCACTCGTCAGGGGGGCATCAGCAATTAATTAATACAAGTATAAAATTTGTCTCTTTGCTGATTAATGTTATTTTCCGTATCTCGTCTCTAGAGCTTCGTAGACCCTTCAGCAATTGATCCGTCTACTCGTCAGGAGATACCAGCGATTGACTGTTTATTTTCTCGTTTTTCGTCACTTTTATATTGAAATGATAGCTCATTCACAGGTCAAGGTCGATTTCTTTTTCAGTGGTGTGTGTGTGTGTGTGTTTGTGTGTGTGTGTTTGTGTGTGTGTGTGTGTGTGTGTGTGTGTGTGTGTGTGTGTGTGTGCCCGCGCTCGTGTGTTCGTGGACGTGCGCATGCACCTCTCCGCTCGGATGCATGTAGAATCTAGTGGTTATTTTTATTTTTTTGTCGTTTGTTTTATTTCTTCATAATCTCTCCTTATCCGATATCCGGTTTGGAAGACAGTCATTGCTCTTAGTATTTCTTATATACCGAGAGAGAGAAAGAGAAAGAGAAAGCGAGAGAGAGAGAGAGAGAGAGAAAGAAAGAATGAAGTAAATGTAGAAAGGTAGGTGCAATAAACAAAGAAAGGAAGAATGTCAGAGCCAAAGGTAGATATGAAGGAAGAAAGCAAAAAGCAGACACAGATAGAGAATATTTACATTATTCAGATTACTGTCCTCATCTTTGTTGCCATATTTATTACAACGTTTCGGCCGCTGTACGCTCCGGCCTACTTCAGGTGGTTGGAATGTCAAATTGAACCCTTTATTCCACTCACGTGCCATGTTTACATGGCACGTGAGTGGAATAAAGGGTTCAGTTCGACGTTCCAACCACCTGAAGAAGGCCGGAACGTACAACGGCCGAAACGTTGTAATAAATATGGCTTCAAAGATGAGGACAATAGTCCGAATAATGAAAATAGTGTACATAATACCTAATCTCAGAAATATAGACAGATATTGATAGATAGATATTGATAGATAGATAGATAGACAGATAGATAGATGGATAGAATGAAATAAAGAAAAGAAACAGCAAAGAAATGAAAGACATTTTTTAGATTCTTTTTATAAATATTTAAGCTCTGTTTTATTATATACAGTATTAATAATATTAACCAGTCTAAATGTCTGAGAAATTTTCGTAGAAAATATTTATTCTCCGACGGGAATCGAACCTGTATACTAAACAGAACCGTCATTTAGCCTGATGTGTCTTAACCGATCGAGCCACGGAGAATTGTTCGTTTATCAAGCTCGGTTTTACTGTTTTTAAACTTCAATCTTGCATGAATCTCTCACGGACATTCATATCTGCTCAAAGCGTATCCAAATGTAAACAAATGACATCACACATTATGAACTGGAAAAAGTCCGACAATTATTTTAAGATATATTTACTTAATTATTTGTATCTATAAAAAGAATGTATAAACATAAAAATGTTTTAAAATAATTGTCCATTTCATAATATATATAATACATACATACATACATACATACATATATATATACATATACATATATATATATATATATATATATATATATATATATATATATATATATATATTCACACATGTTTCATTAAATAAATATAGACAAGTCTTGTCTATTTATTTTATGTAAATTCTTTCCAGAACGTCTGATAAGCTTAATGACATTATTATTAAACGAAGAAAGAAAATCACAATATTGACACATATTTCTTTTAATCCAATCTAAGCTTTCGGCTTACATAAGCCATTATCAAAGATGGCAATTACGGTGCAATATATTAAGGAATACACGGACAAGAATGTCTGTGCAATATATTAAGCAATACACGGATAAGAATGTGATGATAGTCTGTTTCTGTTTGCATGGATGATTTCCAAGCAACGATAAACACGTGCATATAAAACGCTGGAATTACTCCACCATGCCTACATATATGAAAAAGTTATAAGAGAATATGACAGAATGTTAAATAATAAGACAATTGGCAAATGTTTTATTTTGTCATGTTTGGCCGATGGACTGGTTTCTTAAGATCCAAGTCTGAAATCGCGAGATGAAACGGGATTCATGTCAAGTGGTTGAACGATTGATTCTTATATCGTTATAGAAACGTATAGCATTTCAAGTTCAAGTTGGGAATAATCAGGTTTCAACTTGGATTAATCAAATTCAAGTTGGTACAAAACAATTTCAAATCGAGACTAAACAATTTCAAGTTGGACTTTTATTGAAGTGTCTGCGTATGATAACCCGCGAATAAGGTTGAAGCAGCTGACAGCTTTGATACAGGAGAGATTCAATATGATTGTGAGTTCTGAATATGTTCGACATTTGAATGGATTTATTTACACTCAAAAAAAGTTTACAATGAACCGGAGAATGTGAATAGCGATATCAACAAAAACAAACGTCGACAATATATCCAAGAGCGTCTACGATTCCAAGCCGGCAATATCCCATTTGTTTACGTTGATGAAACAAATTTTAATTGGTATATTTCACGTACGGAAGGGCGATCAAGGAAGAGGAGTCACTGCACTGTAGTCGCCACCGGGACTCGCGTGCAAATATTCACCTTATTGGAGAAATCTATCTAGCATTGGATTAATCTATCACGAAATACGTCGCGGGTAATTCAAAAAAGAACAAACTGAAGAGTTTGTAAGACATTGATTACAACGTGCCCACACAGATACCAGTCTGCTGTACTATTGGTGGCTGACAAGGACACTTGCCATGCTTAGTTGGAAAACGTATTTCTGGAACCTGAGTTTGCCCATCATAAGTTCTTACGCCTCGGACCATATAGTCCGGTGATGAATCCGATAGAAGGAGCATGGTCAAATATTAAGGTCAGTGTAAAATCCGAGGTAGCTTTGAAGCTTCCTCGAGTTCTTGCAAGCGAAGGATGGGGGAAATGCAACTCAAACTGAATTTTGCAGTGCACAACTTGAGCAAGTGACTGCTAATAATATATCTCTAATAATTCTGTCTAAATGTATTGCTTTGTTGGCACATGTTCAACAATTTATAACAGCCAGCCTTGGATCTTGAGGATAGGAAATTTTGACATGCACGAGTACATTGATATTCCATAATTCATGAGCTAATGATAATAAATATTTGCTAGTTGAGTTTCATTGTTATGCGTCATTTGTTTTGTTGACAATATATAGATGGCGTCCATAAAGTTCGTGTGCACTTTAAAATTTAAAACTTTATTTGTATTTGCGATAGAAGTAATCTGTAAAAAATGTTATAAAGTTTAATGTACCCAGTTTTAAGTATAGCTAAAATAACTAATGGGATTTCAGGCATTACTGTAAATCAGTTGGCAAATGTTTTCCGTGAACTGCAAAATCATATTACCCTTTGTATTGCTAATGATGGAGGACATGTGGAAACTTAAATAAAATTTCAATAAAACTTTTAAAAAATATAGATTTACTTCTTTCTAATCCTTTTTACAAATTATTTCTATCTCAAATACAAATAAAGATATAAATTTTTTAAATTGCACCCGAACTTTATGGACACCATGTATTTGCCAGTTTGAAATTGTTTAGTATTAATTTGAAATTGGTTATTACTAAGTTGAAATTCTTTAGTCTCAGTTTTAAATTGGTTAGTCCAAGTGGAAATTGTTTAGTATCAATTTGACTGATTATTCCCAACTTGAACTTGAAATGCTGTAGTGTTTAACTTTGTTTCACCTATTTTTTAAAAAGTTTTTTATTTGTTTTAAGCGTGCCACATTGTTTCAGATTTAACTTAGTAAGAACGTATGACAAAGCGAAATCACGTGACTGGATATTAATCGTGAGGGAGACATGTAGATCCTGATACTTTCACCGGGAATTATAGTTCAATGTAAGTAAAACGACATTTCTAAGGACAGAATTGTAATCACGATCTTTTCCGTGGCACACAAGTACATCGCGTGTGTTCAATTTTAAACCACTTTTATTTTCCTATATACTTTTCTTTAAATCTCGATATGTTTCGCCTTTGTGTTTTTGAAGACATTGTTTAATTCCCACTTGACAAACCCCAGCTTTTAATGTAAAGTGCGCTGTTTTAGGAACTGTTTTTGAAAAAAAATATTGATATTAAGTAAATTTCTTTCTTTTTTTCCCAAATACAAATCAAGCAAGTACAAATATTTAAATGTCTAGGAAATGTTTTAACGGAAAGTGCAACACTTAAATAGGAAGGCTGAGTTGGATAGCGAAAGATGTGTTTCAAAAGCTAAGCAAAGTACGTAGAAACAAGAAAATTTCTTTATCAACAAAGAGAAGAGTATTTTATGGTTATGTAATATCAGTCCTCCTATATGTAAGTGAAGGCTCTGACAATTGTCTCACGAAATAAAGAGGAACTTGAGGTAACAAAAATGTGGTTTGAGAGAAGGATGATGAAAATATCTTAGACGAAACATGTGATAAATAAGGAAGTTTTAGAGAAAATAAACAAAAGGGACACTTATACTTAACATCCGAAAAGGACTCATGAGTTGTTTATAGAAGACAGGCTGGACGATACATTCGTTTTTGTTTACGCCAAATTCTGGCCTACCATCCGAATCGAGATACAACAGACGAGACTTTCTTTCCTTTTTATGTGCCATATCCTGCCAGGACGTAGGCAATCATGGCTCTCCACTTTCCCTATATTGATTGAGGAATCAGAGTGCCGAGTTCAAATTCCAGTTGAATCCATTACATTCACTTTCGTCCTAATACCCTTGGGAAAGGTGTGAATCCTCTTCCTCTCCCTCCAGCTATGAGTAAATACCAGGACAGACTGGGTTCTATAGCCTTGGATGGCAACTGGTCTAAGAGAAGGAAAACTCTGAATTCAAATCCTACGGAGGGTCGTTTGGGGCCCTTATGACACGTAGTGGACCAGGTCTCTGTAATCGGCCCTTCAAAAAGTATGGATGCTCCTGCACGAAACCTTCACCACGATAATCAAATCTCATGTGCTATACATGCGGATTTGGGGACATCTTGTGAATTCCAAATTCCCATGAAACTCCAATATTGGAGCCGGCTCAACCCACCTCAGGTGAATGACGTTACAAGGACAAGGACTATATCCTTTACAGCTCTCAACAAGTTCCGTACCTCGGTAACCTCCCCCAAGATATATATATATATATATATATATATATATATATATATATATATATATATGGACAGGTTTCGAATCCCACCATGGTGTAAATTTGTCAATTCTTGATGTTATTTGTCTGGACAGGGGTTTCCGACATGTGTCACATTTTGAAAATATTTAAAATCACTAACGCATGTTTCCCAAAACCTTGTGACTGAAGCCGAGTAGACATCGATAGTTTGATAGCAGGAAGTCACAAGTCATCCTGACTGAGAGTCTGAGTGTACTGACATTGTTTAAACTGATGATGACTGTAGATGATACGCCCTCTAACAGAAAATATAGCATATTTCCAGCATAAATCATAAGTGGACTCTGTGGATATTAAATAATGCAAAATAGGTTTGACCAGATGTCTGCACCAGAGTTTGGCTAATTACCTTTGCACATGAGTGTGTTTGGAAAATGAGAGTAGCCAGTCATATAGTGGCATAATACATTTTAGATGCAACAATGGTGGTCTTCAATGACGCCCTCTCCTCGTTGCCGGTATCGGGTCTTGCATCATATAGGCTCAAATATCAACAACCTGGCTCCGAATGAGTCAGGCCTCCTCCTTGAAAGCTTCGTGCTACGCAAATCGACATTGCAACAAAACTAATTCGATATGGCTAGGAGTTTATTGACGTACATCAGTCAGATTCAACCAATGAAAAAAAGGCTTTTCACGCTTTCCTCCTATATACTGGTCTCTTTGTATTTACATACATCAATATATATATATATATATATATATATATATATATATATATATATATATATATATATATTTTCCAGAGTTGACCGATTAAATATGTCAAAGTCTGATCTTTACCCGCTCCACCTCAATATGAAGTATTGTAATAAAAATAAAAAATATAAATAAATTTTAAAACTATCCTTTCCCTCTCTAAACTCAACCATGTCTCTCACACTATTCCTCACCACCCTCTACGTTCACCTTTTATAAGCTTAATACTGCCCTTCAAAAGTGTAAATTTAAATTTTTTTTTTTAAACTATGAAAGGGAAGTCTGAAGATCCAGAGAAAAATAAAATCTCTGGTGAAATAAATTATATGTAATGAAACCTTAAAGTGCTCATTTTTTGTTTAAATTAAAATTATATATATATATATATATATATATATATATATATATATATATATAGATAAAGATATAGTTTTAAGGTATTCTATATTTATGAGTAGAAATACTCAATATTAGGGGTCCGAGATAGGTTGTATTTAAATATAAAAGTAATGGGGAATCTTGGTAATCCGTATGGATAATCCGAAGGTGGATGAAATTGGGAGAGCTCACTATTAAGTCAGAGCGAATAATTTAATTTAAAGAAAAACACCACTTTTAAGGTTCCATTGTTTTAATTTATTTCACCAGGGATATTATTTTTCCCTGGATCATCAGACCTCACTTCCAAGGATGAAAAAATGAATTTAAAGTTACACTTTTGAAGGGCAGTATAAAGCTTATGTAAGGTGTTATAGAGAGTGGTGAGAGATGACAGACATAGTTGAAATTACAGAGGGAAGAGAGAGACAGGAATGCATTTAAATTTATTTTTATTTTTATTACAATACTTAATATATGAGGAGGGGGAGTAAGGATCAGACATTGACTTATTTAATCAGTCAACTCACCGGAAAAGATATAAGCCAAAAAATCCAAAATCACTTCATAAGGGGAATAGGCTATTTCGGCAGACGAAGATATCGGTGGTCTGTCTTATCAACACCGGTGACTACCGATATTTCTGTCTGCCAAAATAGGCTATTCCCCATATGAGGTAATTTTGAATTTTTTGTTTATTATATTGCTCTGTATTAATAAATACATTGAGCTCTTTATGTGGATCAGTTTTAATATATATTTAAGATATTATTAGGATCCACTTGGATTTCTTATATTTACGGATTGTAACGGATTTATTACATTTAATATATATATATATATATATATATATATATATATATATATATGGGGAGAGAGAGAGAGAAAAGAAAAAAGGAAAGAAAGAAAGAAAGAAAGAAAAAAGAAAGAAAGAAAGAGGGATGGGAGCCTCTCGGTGGAGTTATCGCCAGAAAGATAGTTTGTCACAAACTTACTTTTGCTTTTTGATTTTTTACGTTTTATCAACCTTTTGCAGGTTATTTAATTTTTGGGTAGTCTAGAAATTTTTTAGTGATATTATTCATTTAATGATGCATGTCTTAGTAATTAAATCATAGCCGATGGATAAATGAATATTATTGAAAGTCTGCTTCGGATTTCCAATTCTGAGCCGTTATCCCTTACACCGCCCGCACATCCAAACTTACAGCATCTGGTATTCGCAAGCGGTCCCCTATCTCTGTACTAACCAGGTTCGACGTTGCTTAACTCCGGTGATCGGAAGATTAATCATGCATCAAATTTGATCCCTATTGTGTTCTCTGCATTTGTATCTTATCTATTTTATGCTAAGCTTAAAAATTACGATGCGTGATATATATATATATATAACAATATATAAAAAAATATTTACAATATATAACCTTTGCATACGAGTGTGATCTGAAAATCACAGTAACCAGCCATTATATATATATATATATATATATATATATATATATATATATATATATATATATATATATATATCTGTCTGTGTGTGTCTGGGTCTGTGTGTGTATTGATGTAATAGCAAAGAACATTTAGATTAATAATCCAAAGTTCTTTACTATTTATGCTTTTATTTTTTTTTATATAAAAAACTGTGATTTATACAGAAGTAGTGCTTAAATTATAATTATTTTTTTAAAGATATGATTCCATCGCGACACAGAAATTACTCTTTCGAATCTGAAATTCAAGTCCTAAAATTTAATTTCAAAACTAAACATAGATTTCTGTATCGCAACGGAATCATATTTTTTTTAAAAAATATCACAATATATATATATATATATATATATATATATATATATATATATATATATGAAAACAATATAGTTTTAGGTATGCTATATTTATCTATCTATCTTGGACTGATACTATTACTCATTCCATTCTTATTTATCTGTAGATTTACAATATTATTATTATTACATACTACACACATCAAATCCTATCTATCTATCTATCTATCTATCTATCTATCTATCTATCTATCTATCTATTTCAGTCTATTCATATTCATCTATTTTAGCACTTCACTTCTGTCTCTATCTATCTATATATCCATTCTGTACATTTCTTTCTTTCTCTCTTGTTCAGTCTGGTCAGAACCATCTATCTATCTATCTATCTATCTATCTATCTATCTATCTATCTATCTATCTCCGTCTGTTCACATCTATCTATTTATCTTAGTCTGTTCATATCTATCTATCTATCTATCTATCTATCTATCTATCTATCGCCTCTTCATATCAATTTCAGAATGTTCATATATATCATTCTGTCTATGTCGGTTCATCTCACCGCATGTATATATATATTATATATATACCCCAGTTCTATCTATCTATCTATCTATCTATCTGACCGTCCGTTATTTTCTGCAAAATGAAACACTATGTTCAGAGCTTTGTCTTTTCACCCCCCCCCGCTCCGGGGTGAATGAAGAGAGATTTCCTTCTACAAAATGTCGGAGAAATTCAGCTCTGTCTCTCTCAAAATATCCTTTCTGTTCATTTTCTTTCTTTCTTTCTTTTCTCCCCTCTTTCTCCGTTTTAGCTTTCTTGTTTTTTTTCTTTCTATTCCTTCTAATATTTCTTGTGTAATTCTTTTCGTAAACATTTTCCTTCTGATCTTTGCGTTTCAATTTTTCTTTCTTTCTTTATTCTACTTTTTTTTATTTCGTTTGCTCCTCTTTTTTTCTTTCCATATTTCTTCAAATCTTTTTTTTCATTTTTTCTCTTTTTTTTTTATTCTCTATGATTTTTGTTTTATTTCTTTTTCTTCCACCATTTCCCTCTCCTATGTCTTTTTTTGCTTCTCGCCAATCCAAATATTATTTTGCCGCGCTTACGATTTTACCCACCTTACAAGAAGACAGAAAAAAGGTCCATTTCTTCCAGTTTCGATTCTTTAATAATGGAATTACGCTTACCATTCCTCTCAAAAGACCAACGGAATTCCTACTCGGGCAGTAAGGCGCTGACATTCTCCATGTCATGAATGATATGAATATACAAGTATCTTCTGTTTGTTTCCTCATCGGTGGCGGGATAATTTCTCCATTGTTACATCTGTATTAACACCATACTCACCGAGTATAACACACACGTCTACTGGTGTGGGAGTTCAAACTTTCAGGGTCGTGTTCTTTGGTTTGCAAATTACTCGTTACTTTAACTAATCACGTTCATGCAAACATGGCTTAATTCGCATATTTAGTTAGGTTTTACCTTCGTCTGTTTATTGTGCCGATTTGGATTGCAATGTTTTCTTGTTCATTGTCTTTATTTCGCCGAACAAATCATTGGTGTCTGAACGAGATGTGAAAATTGCATCGAGCGGGGCTTGAATTCCCATCCGGTAATCTATCTCAAGAACGTCATGAAATGTTCTGCTGGGTATGTAGGCGATAGGAATCTTCGGCGAGATAGATAAATATAAACAAAGATAGATATATAGATAGACACACAGACAGATATGAACAGACTGAGATAGATAGATAGATAGATAGATAGATAGATAGATAGATAGATAGATAGGAACAGACGGAGATAGATAGATACGAACAGACCGACATAGATAGATAGATAGATAGATAGATAGATAGATAGATAGATAGATAGATAGTGTTGAAACTTGACTAATGCATGGAATAATAATGCAACACAAAATGTACTTAGAACAAAATATATTGAAACAAGAACGTGTACACAATATTTAAATATAGTCTTTTGTATATTCCTGGTAAGACCGTTCCTGGAGAATGTGTTGACTGAGTCGCAGTCGGGTAGAGTCTCTGGTTGAATCTCTTGATTCCTTCCTCTCTTCCCGGTACCAACCATAATTATATGGTCGGTACTCCACTATGCAAATTAGATGGATCCTACCACAACAGATAGATAGATAGATAGATACGGACAGACGGAGATAGATAGATCCTAAACTAATCTATTCTTTTCTTGCTAATGGTAATATTTTAATATTTGCCGTTTCCTTAAAAAGAAACATTCTGCATTGATAGATAGATAGATAGATAATGTATAGTTCAAGAACAGATTAGATATATAGATAAATACGAATGGACTCAAGCTCTGAACGAATGACAATAAATCATATTCATTTTATTGGTGGCGGTGGCGAGGGTTTTAATTAAGAGAAGAGAATTAAATTAAAACCCTTTCCCCCACATCTCTAAAATTCTCTCTGTTAAGGTTCAATCTCCCTCCTCATCATATTTACACTTTCTCTAAATTCTGTTTCCACTTCCGGGGTGGGTTTTTTCTGTTTTCATTTTGAATTTGTAGGTCTGATGAATGGGATCGTATTTACAATTCCAATGGAATAAATTATGACCATGGAATATTAGTGTTTAAGCCTTTTTATTATATCCTTACTCTCCTAGACATTGAGTTCTACCTGGATTCTTCCTCTTGGAATTTTTATTCTAAAAATATACATGTATGGGTATTTATATATTTTGCATATGTATGCATATTTTCCACTAATATTATCTCTCTCTCTCTCTCTATATATATATATATATATATATATATATATATATATATAGATAGATAGATAGATAGATAGATAGATAGAGAGAGAGAGAGAGAGAGAGAGAGAGAGAGAGAGCTAGATAAATTATATTAGGGGTCAATATGTATATATATATATATATATATATATATATAAATTTCCAACAGGATAGAATCCAGGTAGAGCTCACTGTCCAGAACAGAGCAAGAATATAATATAAAAGGCTCAAGCACTTAGTGTTTGAGCCTTTTACACACACACACACACACACACACACACACACACACACACACACACACACACACACACACACACATATATATATAAAGGAGGGAAAGAGAGAGAGAGAGAGAGAGAGAGAATACAAATTAAGGGTTTGTCACTCAGCTGATTGGTATTACTTTCAGCATCCCGACTCCAGAGTTTCATAGACGCACCCAAAGGGCTAGATAGATAGATAGATAGATAGATAGATAGATAGATATTAACAGGCCTTTATGAATAGATATCGCTAGAACAAAGATATTATTATGCAGACGAATGCGTGCGTTTGTGCTTAGTTGCGCGTGGTAAGATAAAAGCAATGCCCTTATTCTGAAACTTGTTTTACGTGTCTCAGAATAATATGCTAATTAGGAAGAAAGTCTACTTGCCCATTAATACCGTAACTTGTTCGATTATCACTGACTGCTCCACATTCCCGGCCTTTTACCAGACTAAGCTTAGTATGGTTATACATTCAAGTTGTGAGCACAACAGCACGAAGCACTTCAACTTTTAACGACATGGATTCGAGGAAAAATAATCTCTTTTAGAGTAACTTAGCTTTTATGTAGAGATCCGTTTCCGCGATGCGTTTGACTATGAAACAAATTTGCAAGACGACTTTTTCTTTTTCCTTTAAAAAAAAGAAAGATCTTTAGAGAAATAAATAAATAAGTGAAAGAAATCCATCGACGCCCGTTCTTCAAAACTTGTGTCGTATTTATCACAAAGGCTCTGCATCTGACGGGATTCTGGTAGCGTTTGATGCGTTCGGCTCACCAAGTCGAAAAGAGGACACTCTCCTTACATTACACCGAATTAAGGACAGGAAAACTAAAAGTCGTAAAGCATGTTCCATGATACCAACTGGAGTTTATTTTACCGTGGGAATGAAGAAACTGAATGACGTTAGATTACGGGAAAAGAAGAGAAGTCGTTGTCCTTTTTCGTTTACGATGACTTATTTTTTTTGGAGGGATGCCATAAATTTTACCCAGGAGTCAGTTTAAAGAAATGAGATGTTCTATTTGCCGTGTTATTTTCAGTATGTCAAACAACGCGCACTGTACATTACTCGCTGTTTTTTTCTCTCTCTGTCCATCTTGCTTTCAGTACATCGCGCGACTATCAACTTTTGTCAGACTTCTTTCCTCATTATCAATTTTCAACTGTAACTTTCTAATTCCTAGTCTGAGAAAAATGTTCAAAAAGAGGTGTGTTTCGATTATGTAGATGTGTTTTATGGCTGATGACCTATTTTTAGAGAGTTGGCCCTTATAGACAGTATAATGTTTTATTTACGAAACATCAACTATGAACACGGCCACAATGTGCTGACCGTGTTTGAAAAATAAAACGTTCCTATAGCTCTAGATACATACGTAAAACAATCCATATATTCAGTTGAAAGTAAAAGTACAATAATCCTTGTTAATGGCTAAAAAAATAGCCGAAAGCGCTTGGACACGCAAAACATTTGAGCAATTTCTACAGAATTTATGCCCAGAAAAGAAGAAAAATATAAGAACATATGAAAAATTAAATAAAACTCTTAAGCTCAGGATCTTGTCAATTGTTTTTAATAAAATTTGTAAAGAAGAAGAATTGTTCACCAAATGCATAATGATATATATATATATAGATAGATAGATATAGACATTTTTATGTTTATACATTCTTTTTATAGATACAAATATTTAAGTAAATGTTCTGTTTATAATAAACAGTATTAAACAATATTTACCGGCCTGAATGTCCGAGAAATTTTCATAGAAAATATGCGTCCTCCGACAGGATTCGAACCTGTATCCTATACGGAACAGTCATTCATTCTATGTAAATTTCTCGGACATTCAGGTCGGTAAATGTTCTTTGATACTGTTTATTATAAACAGAGCATTTACTTAAATATTTGTATCTATAAAAGAATGTATAAACATAAAATGTTTAAAATAATTGTCGGACTATCCATTTCATTATATATATATATATATATAGTATAACCCGGATATAAGAGACCCGGATATAAGAGAAACTCGGATATAAGAGACTTCTTCTCTAGTCTCGACAACTCTCTTATATCCGGGTTACACTATATATATATATATATATATATATATATCCGATGCAATGAGAACGAAAATAATACCTCTCCACTAATTATTTTTTTTTGCGCATATATATTACTAATACTTTCAAATTAATTGTTTTGCCCCCATACTTATTCTACACGTTATACTGTCCGACAAGTGTTCACAATTTTCTTTATAAAAGTTATATTAATATCTCATATTTTTATATACTTTTCTACTTATATTTTAATTTCTAAATCAAATTTTATTTAAAAGACGAATAACTTATATATTCAACATACCAAGAAGAAATCACCACTTATAAATTTATTAATTTACAAAACACTTTCATTGATTAGAGAATTAGTAATGATAACTTCAACATAAATATATGCAATTCAGCTTGTTTTTTTTTTAATAATAACCAAAAAAAAAAAAAAAAAAGGTTCCAAAATACTACTATAACTTTCGTTTGAATTTATGCCTCCTACCTCTTTCACTGTATTACTATCTCCTACTCCCATTTCCCCTCCCCGACACCTCACTCTTAGAAGACTTAGAAATATTGTGCTTAAAATTTTGAGCATTGTTATCGACAAGGAATTTTTCCAGTCAGGCCATCACTTTACCACCTCACCCATCCTTAACCAAACTGCTATCAACAAGCACTATTGGTTCACTCCGTCAAGTGTTTGCTTTATACAGATTTTTTCTTAGATAAATGGCAAAAAAGAAAAAGCAGAATTGTTCATAATCATTTTGGTTCTCACCAGTCGAGGTGTAGTTGTAATGCACCGAAACGAAGTTGCATCTTTGTAGTGAGTAAACTGTTTTTGCCTATATGAAAATAATTTATATATTGGATTTTAAAATTAAATACACATAAACTAGGATTGAATAGGGACTTAAGTGTTTTAAACCTTTATAAATATTTCAATAGTTAAGCAATTTTTTTAGATATAGTAAAAAATTTTTTTAAATATTTATGACAGTTAGATTTAAGTTAGAATATCCGAACAGTGACGTTCCATATCACGTGACGTCCGCGTCTCGCGAAGGACGCTACTTGCTAAACAAACAGTAATTTTAATTTATTTGTAACAAACAGTTATTTCTGATGAAAAATTGAGGACAATTTGAAATATCAAATATATATATAAATAAATAAATACTTTCCTAAAATAAAACATTATAATTTTTAATTTGAAACTTTTTCTATATATATATATATATATATATATATATATATATATATATATATATATATATATATATATGCTGTGCTGCACTTCTAGCATCTTTGTTGGTATAATTTTTATAATAATTTTTTTTCTCTCCCTGTCCACTCATTCATATCATCCATGACAGACTTTTTCTTTTTCTATTTTTTTTTCTCATAATTTTAGTTCCCCTTTAACAGTTCTGATGAGAGGGGACGAAACCGGTCGACTGGTGTGTGTTTTTGTTTTAAATCTATCATGGCCTACAATATAAAATTTCTTGCTTTTTATGCCTTAATATGCTTTGTCTGTTTCTATATATATATATATATATATATATATATATATATATATATATAATATTTATATATTTTTTTTCATATAGACAAAAACAGTATATATACATGAGGAGAGAGAGATAGAGAGGGGAGACGAGAAAATATTTTCGAATACTGATATACAACTCATTCAGTAAATACAAAATCTCTTTGGGACTTAGGGAAATATAATCTTGTAAATTCGAAAGAACAATCGTGACCTTGTAATTTAATGCACATACCTACAACAAAATATATATTCTTGCATATATCACTACCGTTTTAAATCTATCTCTCTCTCTTTATATATATATATAATATATATTATATATATATATATATATATATATATATATATATATTAAAGTTTATTATGTTTAACGTTGTTATTTTATAGATACAAGTATTTAAGCAAATGCTCTGTTTATGATAAACAGTATTAAATAACATTTACCGGCCTGAATGTCCGAGAAATTTTCATAGAAAATATTCGTTCTTTGATAGGATTCGAACCTGCATCCTATACGGAACCGTCATATACGCTAGGCTACAAAGAAGCGTTCAGTAGACAAGGTCGAATTTACTGCTTATAAACTCCAATTTTCCATGAATCTCGTACATTCATAACTGCTCTCTATCGTATCGAAATGTAAACAAATGACGTCATATATTAAGAAATGGACAAGGTCCGACAATTTATTTATTAAAGACATTTTATTATGTTTAACGTTGTTATTTTATAGATACAAGTATTTAAGCAAATGCTCTGTTTATGATAAACAGTATTAAATAACATTTACAAGCCTGAATGTCCGAGAAATTTTCATAGAAAATATTCGTTCTTTGACAGATTCGAACCTGCATCCTATACGGAACCGTCATACGGAACGTGCCTTACCGCTAGGCTACAAAAAAGCGTTCGGTAGACAAGGTCGAATTTACTGCTTATAAACTCCAATTTTAAACTGCTTATATTAACTGTAAGGCATCGTCAAATGCGTATATGACGGTTCCGTATATTTATTTATGCAGGTTCGAATCCGTGTCACCGCTAGAACGAATATTTTCTACTGATTATAAACTCTCCGGTATTCAGGCCGTAAATGTTCCGTATAATGCAGGTTTGAATTGTCAAAGAACGAATATTTTCTATGAAAATTTTCGGACATTCAGGCTGGTAAACATTTAATACTGTTTATCATAAACATTTGCTTAAATACTTGTATCTATAAAAAACAACGTTAAACATAATAAAATGTCTTTAATAAATAAATTGTCGGACCTTGTCCATTTTTTTTATATATATATATATATATATATATATATATATATATATATATATATATATATATATATATATATATATATATATATATATATATATATATTATTTTTCCAAGCGTAAGCTTAGATGTGGCACAAGGCCGAAAGTAGGGGGCACCAAGTGGGGATCAAACTCACTATTCAGTCGTAATTATTCTAGAGATACAAGATTGCTAACCATTACACTGCCTCGAGGTGCCAAATATATATATATATATATATATATATATATATATATATATATATAAAAAGTGAACATTGAAGTCATGCTAGACGCAATCGTCAGGCCGTTTAATGTCTAGGCACCAAAGAGGATAGATTATCAAAACAATTAGCATGAAATCATTATTAGAAAAGGCACAAGGAAGCTAGGTTAGGGCTCTGCAAAAATGACTGCAGCCGAGATGCCAGATCACGACCAATAATAATGCAGATTTTTATTTGTATTTTATCAAGGATCTCTAAAAATATAGCTGCTGCATCAAAGTAGATATGAAAGCAATATTTAGTGAATGGACCAAGGGTAGACTTATAAATGTGTGAGAGAGATTTTGATGAGAAAATTGTCTAGCACGACGCACTGAACCAACTTTCCTAGTAGCAGTCCTAGCAGTTGATTCAATATAATAATAAAAATAATAATAATGCAAGACGGACCATCTTATAACATTAAAAATGCACTAAGTCCAGTGCCTAGATCCGAAGACCTATTGCGATGGCCAAAGACGCATTCCAAAAGCTAGGCAGAGTATTACGAGACAGGAGGATTTCGCTGGTAAGAAAGAAAAAAGTACTGAACTGCTACGTGGTATCTGTCCTCCTATACGGCAGCGAGTGTTGGACGCTCTCCTCAAAGACACGAGGCAATCGAGGAATGGTTCTACAGAAAGTTGCTAAGGGTACCATGGACAGAACATGTGAGCAACGATGAGGTTTTGGAGAGGATGTAAACAAGGAGGAAGCTTATACTTAACATCAGGAAGAGGCAGATTAAATTTCTGGAACACGTAATGAAAAAGGAAGGCTTGGAGAATCTGATACTCAAAGGGATGATTAGAGGCAAAAAGAGACAAGTCATGATCGCCAACGTCCTCAAGGGACACGGTACATAAAAGAAGAAAGTATTTAAGATAAAGGGTACACAAAGAGCTGAATATAATTTTTGGTTCCTTGAGAGTGAAGAAAATGACCGGTTGTTGGCATCTGGTTGTAGGTTGTAGAATATCAGCCAAAAATCAATTTCTGTTCTGTTCGAAAACAAAGGCACCCCTCTACAGACACTCTCAACCTCCTGCATCATTCAAAATGTCGGATTCTTAACAGAAAATATATTTTGTTAACACCTTGTATATTCTCCTTTGTTATTTCACACGTTTCAGATAAATTATTCGGAGTAGACACACTTTTAACAACATAAGATACACAGGTAGCATTTTATTGATGACAGACACCGTATGAAAACTGCATGAATTGGACAAGGCAGTAAAAGAAAGAATGATAAAAAGACTAACTATATTATAGTTAAGTATACGGTCAAGAAGGACTGCCCAACATATTTGGTTAGATGTCAGAATCACCAAATACAGAGATTTAACTGTCAGGATGATTTTGTAACAGGCAACAGAAATGTGACACCGAAATCCGAAGATACGGTGGAATAGTAGAACGTACCTTCTCAAATCTAAACCAAGTATTAAGTGATAAAACGTTTCTTTCGAAACGAGGAAAAATGTGAAGAATTATGACGTTATATCAATTCTCATATATAGCAGTGAATGTTAGTCATTTTCCTCACAGATGAAGAAGAGACTGGAAACAACAGGAATGCTGTCCTACAGAAGGATATTGAGAATAACATGGACGAGGTACATATCCACACTGGGGAAGTTTTTAGGAAAATGGAAACAAAAACGACACTTAAAATCGGAAAGAGACGGCTGAAATTTCTTGGACATACGATGAGGAAGGAAGGCTCGGTAATTCCGACACTAACATGACAAATCAAGAGCAAACGGGAGAGGGTGATGCAGCGAAGCTCCTCACCCTGACGAGCTTACGTGAACGAATGGCAGGATGGAAATTGGGTGCGATTGCAAAAGGATAAACTTTATAAAGAGCTACAAAGGATACGAAGTTGTGGAGAGCCATCATCTCTCACATCCTGAAGAGACACAGTACATAGAAGAACACACTTCCCAAAATAAGTTTTTAATGACTAACAAAATGCTGATTGTGGCAAGTGGTACGGCCGAGGAATTTTCAGCACATTCTCATATGTTTCACTGTTTTATATTATATTGAGTGAATGAACGAGTCTGTCACATTTGACCGCTTCTTCTTCTATGAGCCGTGTCCTTTCATGACGTGGACAATCATGGCTCTCCACTATTTCCTGTTCTTTGTAATCAAATACCTATGTTTCATTTTGTGTGCGAATGAGCAATAGGCGGTTGGTGGGGGAATGAACTGGTTGATTGTTCAACAGTGCTGGAAACTGCTTCCGGTCTTACATTGAAGCCATCCGGGATGGTCTTAAACAGTGCAACGTCTCATCTCACCCACTCCCGCCTTTCCCATTGTTACTTCCGGTTCTTCTAATGGAAGGAGGTGAACGGGTCGAAGACGAATGAGATTTCAGGAGAATCAACGGAATTCGCAGATAATTGGCCGGAAATAAGCGAAATCGAGGCTCGAAGACACATTGTTGAGCAACCGAGGTGGGAGATGGGTTTAAAGTATTGATGACACACACAGAGATAAATAGCTAGAGGGAGAGAGAGGGGGAGAGAGAGAATTAAAAAGAAAAAGAGGGGGGGAAAAAAGGAAAGAACGGAAGTGAAAGAAAGGAAGACTTAGAGAGTGAATAAGAGAATTATAGCAAAGTCATAAGAAAGAGGAGTGAGAAACAAAACGGAGAGAGAATGTATAAATAAGAGAGGGGAGGGGAATTGGTGAAAGAAGCGGAGATCAAAGTGAGAATGTGACAAAAATAGAAAGAATGAAAGAAAGAAAGAAAGAAAGAAAGAGAGAGGGGGTAAAAGGAGACGGATGAGGTAAAACTGACAGAATAAAAATGAAAGAAAGATAAACATAGAAAGAAAAATATTATGGATATTTCAGGAAGTGTAAAACAGAGTGAGGAGAAGGAGTGGGGAGAGTGACAGAGTTAAAGTACACGAAAGAGAGGGTGTGTGAGCGGAAGAAGAAGAAGAAGAAGAAGAAGAAGAAGAAGAAGAAGAAGAAGAAGAAGAAGAAGATTAATGAACAAAAGAGTGGAAGGTCATGAAAATAGTTCAGAAAGAAAGTTGGAGAAGAAGAAAAAGAAGAAGAGATAGATAAAAGAAGAAAAAAGAGGAAGTTAAAAAAAAATTAATTCAAATGAAAGAAAGTAAGAAATAAAAAAGAAGAAAAAGAAGGCGAACGAACGAACTAAGAAAAGATTGGAAGGCGAAGAAAATGATTTCAAAAAAAAAAATAGAAAGAAAACAATAATGAAAGAACACGGGGATGAAGGCAACAATGCAGAGAGAAATAATTAAAATGCTTCCGAGAATGACGTGGAGGAAAATGAATAGACAGGCACACAGATATAAAGAAGAAGAAGAAGAAGAAGAAAAAGAAAAAGAAGAAGAAGAAGAAAAAGAAGAAAAAGAAGAAGAAGAAAAAGAAGAAAAAGAAGAAGAAGAAAAAGAAGAAGAAAAAGAAGAAGAAGAAGAAAAAGAAGAAGAAAAGAAGAAAAGAAGAGGAAGAAGAAAAGAAGAAAAGAAGAAGAAGAAGAAGAAGAAGAAAAGAAGAAGAAAGTAAAAGAAGAAAAGAAGAAAAAGAAGAAAAAGAAGAAGAAAAAGAAAAGAAGAAGAAAAGAAGAAAAGAAAAGAAGAAAAGAAGAAGAAGAAAAAAGAAGAAGAATAAAAAAAAAAAAAGAAGAAAAAGAAGAAAAGAAGAAAAGAAGAAGAAGAAGAAAAGAAGAAGAAAAAGAAGAAAAGAAGAAGAAAAAGAAGAAAAAAGAAAAAGAAGAAGAAGAAGAAGAAGAAGAAGAAGAAGAAGAAAAAGAAGAGAAGAAAAAGAAGAAGAAAAGGAGAAGAAAAAGAAAAGAAGAAAAGAAAAAGAAGAAGAAGAAAAGAAGAAGAAGAAGAAGAAAAGAAGAAAAAGAAGAAGAAAAAAGAAAAAGAAGAAAAAGAAGAAGAAGAAAAGAAAAGAAGAAGAAGAAGAAAAAGAAGAAGAAAAAGAAGAAAAAGAAAAAGAAGAAGAAGAAAAAGAAGAAGAAGAAAAAGAAGAAGAAGAAGAAAAAAAGAAGAAAAAAAAGAAAAAGAAGAAGGTGACGAAGAAGAAGAATAGAATCAAAACTTAATGAAGACAAAGAAAAAAATGATAAAAGAGATTGAAAGACAACATTTCTATATGATAATTATGAGAAATAGAAAAACTAAAGAACGAAAGAAAATGTACACACACACGCACACACACGCGCGCGCACACATATATATTTATGTATATAGATATGTATTATATATATATATATATATATATATATATATATGTGTGTGTGTGTGTGTGTGTATATATATATATATATATATATATATATATATATATTATATATATACATATATGTATACATGCGTGTGCGGCTTGATTTTCTGCGAGTTAATAGTTAATGAACAGTTCTATATTTTTCGCACTCTGAACTTGCATGGAGGATTAATTCAAGTTTTGGATAAGATTCAAGTCTGTACTTTCAGATTGTGTGAAGATTTAAATGCTGTTCATAATTTGCAACACTACCACAGAACTTAGAAAGTGCAATTGATATTCGGCTTTCATTTAGTTCGCATGAAACTGTCATTTAAGTTAATAGACTTCGAGGTTTCAGTTCAAAAACAGAACACTGTCTACATTATTACCGCTTTTGCATAAAACGCTTTAATGAAAAAGAAAAAAAAGCAAACAAAGCGAAATAAAAAGAATGGCAGCTGTTTGGAATTGGAAGGTGAAATCTTAACATAATTGCACATCTTAATAATTGACTAAAATTTTGAGAGAATTATCCACTTTATAGTAAGGGAACTTTTACTACTACTCACTAGGTGGCGTTTGTATAAAAGAAAAGGTGTAAAAAAACACTTTTTTTCTTTGTTTCTCTTTACTATGTCCTAATGACAAGACGTGTCTCATTATTGTCTCGGCAATTGAATTTTTAAGGACATCGCATGGCGGACAGACATTAGTCTGAAATGAACCACATGGCGTAACTCCCTTACAAACTACGGCTAGTTACTGTCTATACATAAATAAAGAATTGAGTATCAGGTCAATTTTACCGCCTGGAGATTGTGAAAGAGTCGCATAATTATCTAGGTGACACATGAAACTATATCACTGAAAAGCAGTAATATATATATATATATATATAATATATATACTGGGTTTAACAGCAAAAGTGTCCAAATCGTCTAAAAGCAAAATTGTTCATTTGTTAAGATTTGAACCGTTATCTCTTTAGAAATGATTAAACATATTTTACTGGAATTCTCCGAGGTGTTTATAACACTATTGTACTCTGCTTTGAACAATAAGAATATACGATTACTCTCCACGCTTAATAGCTTAAACTCCTCTATCACGTCTTATGGGTTGAGTTGGATCTTTTCTAATTAATCTCTTTATCTAAGTTGAAATGATGACCCCTCTTCCTGTCGTGACCTATTCATCCAGTTTTCCTCTCTACTTTTTCCTCTTTTTTAAACCGTTCTCTTCATGGTTCTTGAATAGACTTTGAAGATGGAAACCAGAGTATGATGGTACCATTACTGAAGGCCTGAATGACCTTTCTCCTCTCACCATTGCTCATAGAGAAAGACAGTGGTGCTGACAGAAAACGATTTTAACCTGTTCTCTTTCACGATGAATAACTCAAAGGGTTTTTCAGTGATTCTTACGACAAATTCTGTCAATATGGCTAAACGCCTTATCTGAAAATGTGGAAAAAATAAACTCAATTAGTTTAGTGTTTTTTTTTAGATATTAAATAATTCGTGGGGTGGACAATTATGTTGTTACACGATTTTGGACAAATTTGCTGTTACAAAAGTATATATATATATATATATATATATATATATGTGTGTGTGTGTGTGTGTGTGTGTGTGTGTGTGTGTGTGTGTGTGTGTGTGTGTGTGTGCGTATGTCTAAAATCTCAGTTATAGCTAAAGATATACCTGCAAAAGAACAATATGAATATATATACAGAGTCCGCCAAAAAAGTATACACCTTTCAGGAAAGGGAAAACGTGTATTTCGGACTTTATTTTCGACATCGTCTTTATTCTTTCTACACAATCCTCCACCATAATATGACGTATCTGTAAACCCTGTTCGATTACTTAATAAAAACAGTCGGAAACATTAAGATAAAAAAAAAAACAACAAAAAAAAAACAACTTATCTGAGACGCTTTTATTTTTTGAGACTAGTGACAGTAAAAGTGTTACAAATTATTTTCAAAAGATGAATAATTATTTTCAAAAGATGAATATTTATTTTCAAAAGATGAATATTTATTTTCAAAAGATAAAATATTCATTTTAAAAAGAAAAAATATTACTTTTCAAAGGATGGAATATTTATTTTCAAAAGATGAAATATTTATTTTCAAAAGATGAAATATTCATTTTCAAAAGATGAATATATTTATTTTCAAAAGATGAAATATTCATTTTCAAAAGATAAAATATTCATTTTCAAAAGATGGAATTTTTATTTTAATAAAAGTTAAAACAATACATCCAGAAAGAAATAATTTTCCGATGATAGAAATTTAAATGACAAGAACTAGAATTTCGAGTGAACTGAACCCTGTAATTTTTAGAGTGGACAGTCTTTCGAATTTCGTGGACTGCCACTATAGAATTACAAACAAAAAAAAATAACTTTATCTAATGAACGAAACCACGAAAAATTTTACAAACAACTAAAATGGATTGCACATGTAACACGAAGAAAAACTTACGGCGCATTCAATATGTTGACATTCCACACTACTTCAAACAAAAGGTTAGGAAGGAAACCTCCATCAATATTGGAAATACCGATAACATCTAACTTTAGAAACCTATTTTTCCGAAAAGCATCTTTAAGAGAAATATTTTATAAATTTTGATTGACAGTCGCACTAGCTGCTTGGCCAATGAAATGCCGAATGTTTCCATATAAGAAAACGGTTAATATTACCATAACTCTTATTATTTATCCTGTATTCGTACTAGGGAAATATATTTTTCAAACTTTGGCGTAATAATAATGATAAGGGTAATATTAACCATTTCCCTCCAAGGAAACATTTCGCATTCATTGACCGATCAGCCAGTGCTGCTTTCAGTTGAAATTTATAATATCTTTGTCTTAAAACAATTATTCAGATAAAAATTGGTTTCTCAAGTCCAGTAGCTGTTAGTGCTCTTTCCATTATTGATGGGGATTTCCTTCTTCACCTTTTGTTTGAAGAAGTGTGGAATGCTAACATCTTGATTATGCCATTATTTCCTCTTCGAGTTACATGTGCTATCCATTTTATGTTCAAAGAAGAGTAACCTTCACCAGAGACCCATAATTTAGTAAAAATTAATAAATGTACTAAAATGTTGTAATGCCAAAAACTAGATCGACTATTCAGAACAGCGAAGTTCTACGATAAGTACTAACATTTGGAATCATATATAATTCATATAAATATATTAGAGTGTGAAGCTTTTATATTATATCATAAAGAAGTAATTTATACAAAGAATTAATTAGCAATGTTAATGAGATTAATGGCGATATCACATAGCAAATTAAAAAAAAATCTTTCGGTATCCACAACACATATTTAATCTTGGTGTTTTGCCCGTAAATAGAAAAAGAAAAAGAAAAAAGCTCCCTGAAGATGACAATTTGAAATTGTTGAAAGTACTTGGCTCGTCAATTCCATCTGACAACAACTCTAATATAAAGATCTTATTCCAGGAATTGATAGTAAGTTAATGTCTCATTAAATCTTGTTAGCGAAGTAATTTCACCATTAATTTTATTAATATTGCTAATTAATTCTTTGAAC